GATTCGAACGTTAACTTCGTCTTCTTTAGGCGAAAAAAATTCGATAATTCGATCCTTGAGCCTGATGCAACGTTCGAGTAGAAGCGTGAAACGATATAGATCGATCATATATGTGTTAGATCGTACGCACGGTTCCCGGAATTAAAATACCATCGTTTGTTTTCTCACTTGGAACAAGGAATTACGAGATGCGCGTTAAATGCGTGCAAAAGATATTTGCATTATTGAACTATAGCTGATGTGTTTCGTAACCCTTCGAATAGAATTCCTGCAAATTTTCCTTTTTTTTTTTCTCCCCTCCCTCCCCTTCGAGAATCGATACATATCGTTTCTTCATTGCAATTTCCGCGTTGCGTAATCTTACTGCGTAGGTAATGATTCATAACTGTTTGGAGAGACTATATATGTACTAGCTTCGTCTTATCGATGTTCCAAATCGAATCGAAAATGTGCGTCGAAGTTATCCTATATTTTTCTTTCTTTCTTTCTTTTTTCTCTCTCTCTCTCGAAAGAATTATTAAAAAGAAAGTTTGTTCCGTGACACGGATATAATATTTATCGTACAATAGACGTGCAACCGTTGAATATCGGTGGTTAAATTTCCCATTCGATCGATAACACTCTCTTTATTTTCTTATCCCGTATTTTTCTCCCATATCCCGATTATTTTACAACTTTTACAACTAATCGCGATGATTTTCCATCTCTCTGGTTTTAGAGAATGGATCAAGAGAGCTATTTATTGTTTACTGATGGAAAAAAGTATTTAATGCATTAAATAATTTAAATGCATTAGATAGTATCTGAAAAATTCTAACTTCTTATTTCTCATTATTTCTCAATATGCGTAGGCTGATTACGATTTGTAACGATAGTTTATAATTTATAAATGTAATTTCATATTCGAGTGATTAAGATAATAATTGTATGAATAGATACCGATATATGTCGAAATAATTAATAGTTTCGATTATTCTTATAACTTTATAAATGAAATAATTTTTACGATTTTAAATATTCGAATAATAACCTCTTCTTACTACTATATAGAGTGTAGTGTCAGGTTTGTCAACAAAGCGTCCGTAGTGGGGAAGACGGTTCTAACGAAAGACACTCCTCTTGCCTCAGTGTTGTCCTGCGAGACTTCTTTACACCAGCGAACAATACAGTCGACAATGATGGGAAAAATTTAATAGTGAGGTTACGAATAAAGTTACTTCGATAAGTTAGTTCGATAATTTATTGTTCAAAACGTAATAATAATCACGAATAACTATAGTGTCGAACGATCGAGGTTATACGAAAAGCGAATTGATTATAATAACTACGAATAAATGTTATTCAAGCGTTTTAATAAATAATATTATACTTAGAATAACTTTATTTTTGACTAGTTACTTTTTTAATGTCCAATTCTGATATTCGAGAACTCGTTAAGAATTTCGTATACGTTCGATGAATCGATCGATGAGTGAAAGAAATATGTAATCGACCAATCTCGTTAGAGCGGATCGAGAATGTATCGAGGAACAATCGATCTCGAGACAAGGTGGTGCATCGGGTATCGCGCACACGCAACGTAAACACCGCGATAATTTCGTATTTTTATAGGGTATTTTATTCGGATGATAATGGGGTCAGGGACTCCGGGGCATCGGATCTTTAATTAATTTTCTGCGATAGAATTGGATATACGCGTGTTACGAAACTCACACGAGCGAAACAATTTCGGTTGCAATTTCAGTTTCTCTCTCTGAACCTCAATCTCTTCCTATGAGAACCTAACAGAAAGATAAACGAAATTTTCATTTCCGCTCCGCCTCGTTTGACCCTGTAACGGGGTTAAAACGTCAATTTTTTTTGTGTGTGTGTTTTTTTTCTTTATATACGCGATATATCTTTCGTAACCCACGTATTTCGATATCGCGCGTAATCCGTGATGAGATGAATGAGAAAAATAAGCAAATGATTTAGAGATAGATACAGAACTTATTTTTCGTTTTCATGGAACAGATCGGAAGAGGAGAAAGAAATAGAGCGTTGAAAGAAAAAAAAAGAAAAAGGTATCGTTCACCACAAGTAAATGTCACGGATGCTGCGATAACGATTGCAACTGTTTTGCAATAATGATGTGACTCCTTGGATGCAAAGGAGATCTTAATTTCCACGAAAATGTTCATAGCAGTCTTCGATCTTGTGCTCTTAATTCGAAATCTCGATCCTTTCTTCGCGAGATTTGGAGGTTAGGTTTTAGTTCGGGACGCATTCGCACCTCCCTCCTTTCGCTTTCGTCGAAAGAAACGAACGAAAACCGCATCGAGATGCAACAACGGAATGGAAAATTACGAGTGGTGATAAGTGCCGCCACGATAACCGCCCGTCTGATCGTGGATTATTCTTTCGGACGACGTCCAACTCGATTCCATTTTCTCTTTTTGCCGCTTACTTGTCCCTTTCCTATCTTACCGTTTAAGCAGATGACCCACGGCGTTTCTTTAACTCGAACAACACTTTATTTGTTTTCGCCGATTGTCGCGTAGCCTTGGCGATACTTGGGATCCTAAATAATAAATCACGCATCTAGAAATTAACTTTTTCCAGATTTGAGAATGAAAATTTCTCGAAAGTAAGTGTTGTTTACTTATAGATATTCTTAATCGATGTTTTTAAATCGGATGACGGTTTTCAGACGGTTTTAAAAGCGACGTGAAGCTGTGGTGCAGAATGTTGCTTCCCGGGGCCGTGAAGAGGGTGTACAACTTGCAAAGCAAACAATTGATCAAGCTGTTTTCTCGTATACTGCTCGAGGACGAGGACGAGATGCTGGAACATCTCGAGCGAGGAGACGTAGCTGAAACCATCCGATCCTTTTTCGAGAGAAGCGTCGCTCGAAAACCAGCTGAAAACAGCGTACTTACCATTCAACAGGTAACCCAGATTTCTCAGATGAAGATTTGCATTGATTCACATCAGAAGGGATCGCGTGCGTGTTCTTTGTGCGGGGAAAAAAATAAATAGTCGAGACGACGAAAGGTTATATTAATATTCCGTATTTCTTCAAAATAGAAAAGAAACTGTCGATCTCTGGCTGGATTTTTTTTCATGTTTTTCGGATTACCACAGAACCCAAACTGAATTTCCAAACGAAATCCTCCATCAATTCGAATTTCAAATATCTATAATATATAGATATGAATATCTAACATATAATCCAGACTTCTCGATATTTATAGAGATAAGCAAAGAGGTTAGGTTAGATAATCATTAATTTGTTTTTCCTCATTAGGTGGATGAATTTCTACAGGAGTTGTCGTTTTTAACCAAAGAGGAAGAGCAAGTTAGCCACTTTTGTTCCATCATCCCCAGGTAAATTATTTTTTCCCCTATTTTATCATTTCTTCATTTCGAAAGCAAATCGTTGCTCGTTTTTTCAGATGCACTCTGGACGATCTAAAGATGATAATCCGACTGATCAAGCATGATTTAAGGATAAATGCTGGTCCGAAACATATGTGGGTATAAATAGCAAGCTACACGATTAAACTAGATCAAATATTTTTCGTCTGTATTCTCGTATTCTCGTAGTTTGGCCGCGGTGCACGAAGATGCTTACGAGGCTTTCCAAACGTCCAGGGATTTGAACAGCGTTATCGAACGGTGTTTGCAACGACCGTCGAAATCAAAAAAGGAAGAATCGAATTCTTCCAATGTCAAGGTTACGCTTTCGCTGATGACACCTGTTTTACCTATGCTGGTAAAGTTTTTGTATCTTCTTCGTTTAAATCTTTGTAAATCGTTGTAAAAATGTGTTAAAAATGCAACAGGCAGAAGCTTGCAAGTCCGTGGAAATGGCGATGAAGAAATGTCCAAATGGAATGCTGGCCGAAGTGAAATATGATGGAGAACGAGTTCAAGTGCATAAGAAAGGGAACGAATTTCGATACTTTAGCAGATCCTTGAAACCAGTGCTTCCTCATAAAGTAAATAAATCTGTTTCGTTTCGATTATTATTTCTCCAACGCGTTGCTTTTACACGTGCTCTTTTGTATCGTTCCAGGTGAATCTTTTCAAGAATTATATTCCACAAGCTTTTCCAGACGGCGATGATCTGATTTTAGATTCCGAGATCCTCATGATCGATGCCAATACTGGACAACCGTTGCCCTTTGGTACCTTAGGCATTCATAAGGTTCGAGTACACTCTTCGTTGAAACTCTTTAATCCTTCGAAATTATCACTATTCGGTTTCGTTTTTTAGAAAGCTGAATTCAAAGATGCAAATGCCTGTTTGTTCGTTTTCGATTGCATTTATTACAACGGAGATGTTTTGTTGCACAAGTGAGTTTTTCTATTTCTCTCTCGTTCCTATCTTATTTAGTATCTAGATAAATCGTTTTGCGCAGATCTATGATGAAACGAAGACAAATATTAACGGAGAGAATGACAGAGATACCAAACAGAATAATGCTCTCAGAAACGAAGGAAGTCCATGTAAATAATTTAAAATTCAATTTTTAAATTCAATATTGTAAAAGTAGAAAATTGTAAGCGATAACAATTTCAGAATTCCCAAGATTTAGCAGAAATGATCGCCAGGATTCTTAAAATGGGTCTTGAAGGCTTGGTCCTCAAAGACATTCACGTACTTATCGCATGTTATTTATAAAACGATCAATTTATTTCGTATTTATGCTATGTCCAAATTCTAAGGATACGTCCTTATTCGTAGAGCAAATATGAACCGGGTAAAAGGCACTGGTTGAAGGTAAAAAAGGATTATTTGTACGACGGTGCAATGGCCGATAGTGCAGATCTCGTTGTGCTTGGCGCATGGTACGGTACGGGGAACAAAGGTTTGTTACTTGATCTATTGAGTTGCTTCGTATGCATATTTTTTTTATATTTGATTCGTTTCTTACGATTTTTAGGAGGTATGATGTCTGTATTTCTCATGGGTTGCTACGATGAAGATCGTGGCAACTGGGTAACGGTGACCAAGGTAAGAAATTAAGTAGATATATATGTACGCTTAATGCCAATGAAATTTAAAATTTGGTTGAATGCAGGTACACACTGGTCACGACGATGCAACCCTGGCAAGCCTTCAGGATGAACTCGATATGATAAAGATAGGCAAAGATCCAACTAAAGTACCACGTTGGCTACGTGCTAATAAACCAATGATTCCCGACTTTGTTGCAAAGGATCCGAAGGTATTATCTGGGTTTAACTTGGTTCGATTCTCGGCTGAAAGCAGGTCAAACGAAACGTTTATGGTTTGCAGAAACAACCGGTGTGGGAAATAACGGGAGCAGAGTTCACCAATCAGGGTGTTCACACAGCTGACGGTATTAGTATCAGATTTCCACGTGTAACGCGCATTCGTCGAGATAAAGATTGGTCTTCTGCCATCACTTTAAACGAATTGCGAAATCTTTTCAAAAAGAATTCCGAGTCGATAGATTTTACTCTTCTTTTGCCTTCAACTTCTAAGAAAGAAATTGATAAAACGAGAACGAGCGAAGAAGATTCATCTTTTTTGAACACAAAAGCGAAACGCGAAGATGAAAGATCAAAGTCTCCAACAAAGAAAAATAAGGATTCAAAAACGATTAAAACACCTTCTCCAAAGAAATCTCCCGCAAAGCCAGCAGCCAGTTCTCCTCGTACACTATCTAGATCTAACGAAAGAAATAAGGATCAAAGAAGGCACGATGGTGCAAAAAAAAATATTTTCAACGAACGGGATACGGAGGCAGCGTATTATGCTTTTGTAGATAAGGATGTACGTTTTTATCGCTACATGTTTTAATGAGATGTACCATCTTATCCGTTTAACCTTATATCCTATACCTTATAGTTCATCGAGTATTCCGCTGCAGGAGTCCCGTTAAATTGGATCGAAGGACGAAAACCCAAGGATGGTCTTCCGTCGGATGCAAAATCGTTGCATAATTTAACGAGCAACGAATTGGTAATAAACGCATATCAGTGATGGGGAAAATTTAATAGTTGAAATTACGAATAAAGTTACTTCGATAATTAATTGTTCAAAATATAATGATAATTGCAAATAATTGTAATGCAATGAGATAACACGAGGATCGATTATAATAGCTATAAATAAATATTATTAAAGCATTTTAATAAATAATTACTTAGAGTAATTTTATTCGGAATTTTTAACTGGTTATTTTTTCAACGGATTAATACCAAACTCTGAGGCACATAATGTAGCGAAAAAAGTTAACCTCTAAAATCGAAACGTGACAACACTCGTTTCGTTCTTTTTCTTTTCTTTTTCTTTACAGAAATCTAAAAGCGTTTTAAAGGGTGCACCGATCAGCTTGGCGCCAAACTTTAAGAAAAGCAAGCAACGAGATTACGTTCGCAACATGCTCAAGACGTATCCTTTTATTCCTTATTGAAGGAGTAGGAGCTCCTTGAATAATTATCGTTTCCGTCTTTGGAAACAAACTCAAACTCGCAGTTTCAAACTCGATTGGTCGACGCGTTCAATCGACACGGCTATCACGACTTAAGGGACGTTTCTTAATTACTTTGGGACGGATATATAGGATCCGGTGGAATGAGTCGCGTTTTCCAATGGAAAACATGTACTTACGTAAACCTCGTACGTAACATCTCGGGGAGGAGAATAGTTGGCGAGAGTGGCATGACAGAAAAATGGAACACGAGATTTTCTTTCGTGTCTTACCACGCTCCCTTGAGGCGGATTTAAAGTAGACGAGTTGCTTAACGACTGTGTCGCGAGAAAGGGGAACGTACGAATCATACGCGAGCTTCTCGATTCTACCGCTTCGAACGCGATCGGGTTACATATCGATTCTCCTTAATCGATATCAGTCTTGGGGCCAAGGTATTGAACGACGAAGACAAATCTACGGCCACGTACATGATTCATCCTTGTAAGGAAATCCTATCGTCCGCTGTTCACGTACGTATAATTTATCTTTACGAAAAAACTTTATATCCTTCTAAAGAGAAAGATTCATTCGTCGAAATCAATTAATTTGAACATCGTTTTGAGAAATAGTTTCGATACGTTCGTGATTTTTAAAATTTTCTGATAGAAGGAAATTCTATATAGCGCGATTCATCGCTCGAAAAATTGTTTAAAATGGGTGGAAAAAAGAATAGTATATCGATCGATAACGGAAACTTGGAATTCTTGAAAATAACGCGTTTTATCTCGGTTTGGATAGGTTAGGTAAAAAAAGGTAAAACAGTTTGCGATCGCGTAGTTAATGGATGCGTTTTTAATGGATGGAACGAGCGGGGCCTCGATAACAGAGTTAAACTTGGTTAACACCGGCATCGTTACAGCACGCTAGCATTGGCATTAAGCGGCTTCCGACTCGTGGAAGTTGTCAACTCCGTTAACCGTAGGCGCCAATTGCTCGCGTCGTTCGCTCCTTGATAATCCTCCATCGCCTATGGAATATCATTACCCCTCATCCGTAAAACGCAAATAGGAACATTAATCCCCGCGGCATGACATTCACTTCGATTCTCTGCTTCGTTCCTCAGGAATTCGAAGATGTTCCAAAGACGGTAAGGCACGTGAACGTCTCTTGGGTAGAGGCGGTCGCCAATACTTTGGAAATTCAAGGGACGGAAGAGCACGCGGTGGAACTGGCCCAGAATTATTGTTCCTGTCCCTGTTCTCATCGATGACTATCTTTACACAAAATGGAATAGTGTAGAATTCATTGGGAAGAAATATTCGAGGAGAATTTTGTACTTACCTTTTCCTTGCATCCCAGTATGTTGTCCTTGAAATCGAGTCTTCGAAACTCGACTGCTTTAATGAAGGAAAATGTAGAAAATTGTAAATTGTATATTCTATATTTATTTCGCTACTGAATATTCGTAGCAAGATATATTCGGAAAATAAAGAGATCGATCGTATACAGAACGGAAAAAATTGATCCTTTATTAAACAACGTCCTTCGTTAATTAAAAATACGTAAAGTATAATTGACAAAGAAGATGAAATTATTGTGCTTCGCAAAGTCTCACTCGAGAAAAGAAAACTCTATAATCTTAACGCAGGTATAATTACGATACATCGTACTACAATCTACTATTTCCTTTCCTTAATATCGATGTTAATATAATACAGCGTATTGCGGGGAAATGGATCATTGCTAAATTTACATCCGCGACATTTTCAAATCGAAAACGATTCCAATCTCCGAAAGGACACGTACATTTTGAAATACGATCAAAGAGTTACCAAAGATTCATAAACTCGCGGATGCAAATTTGACAACACTGGGAGGGATCTGAATTTGTGCCGTCGAGCTATACTCGTCGTCTATTTAAAAGCTTAGCCACTGGACAAAGGGAGAGACAAAGGAAGGAAAGTGAGAGAGAGAGAAAGATGATCGAGGAGCAACTCGACGTTCTATTTGCCAAAGCAGGAGACGGCGTTGAAGGCGCACTGTTTCCAATAACTTCGTTTGCGTTGAAGGTCACCGATGTCCAGCTGATTTCGAAGCCGTTTCACGATTTGTTTCGTGAACAGGTAATTGATCAGAGCGGTCTCGATGCTTCCATCGTCGTCCACCAACTGAAACAAATGCGTTGAACAACCAATTTCAACGCGACAACGCGAATAATGATATAATAATATAAGAATAATAGGAGAAAACTGGACAAAATTTTTTTGCCGGTTTTGAATTTATATGAAGATTTAATTTTTAAAAAATAATATTGTTTTTTTATTATAATTTATTATTTCGTTAAAAATATACGAATGTACAAATATTTGTGATTCGAACTCTTAAGTAAACGCGCAAAATATCTTCGCGGCGAACGTAACAAAAAAGTTATGGCAGGCAATTAACTTACGAAAGCGTTTTGAATTTCACAACATACGATAAACTGGACCTTGAGAATTGAAAATTGATAGTTTAAAGAAACGGACGTTGAGAAAAAAATGTTTATTAAAAAAAAGATTTTAGGCTATTAGCTATTGCTAGGGGATATCGAAAAATTCTATTTTAAATTATTCGATAGATGTGGATCAAATATGGATCTAAACAATGATAATTTAACGAAATAACGATAAAACTAAAAATTATAAAATGGAAAAAGCACTGCAACAAGACATACTGCATATCGACCGCTCATACATTAAAAGGAATAAAAAAATTGCCAACTTAAGTTAGAGATATTATTATATATATATTATAACATAAGATACGTTAAAATTAATCCATAAATATCAATAACTAGATTAAATTAACTTTAATATAATAAAAAAAAAATATAAAGTTTCTATTTTCCGTACATTCGACTCTTATTACGTGAAACATATAAAAAATCATTGGCAAATAATTACATTGTATGAATTTCTAATATGAAATAATTACTTAACTTTAAATTTAATTTATAAAAAAAAAAAACAAAATTCATCGATAATTTATAACTTATTTTATATTTAAATTAAAATAAGTATTTTGAGAAATGCTTTTTAAAAAATTTACAGAAACCAATCAGTTCTCTGCCTGTATACGCGTATTTTGTTTAATCTGTAAAAATAGGATTTAAAATTTTAATGTATAATTATTATACATTACATCAAAACAATCATATTTTATTCATTTGAAAATAAATTTTGCCCAGTTAATTATACATTATTCGAATCACAGTGCAACGTTTTATTTTTAGTTATATACACTGTTCGTGCATAGACAGTGGAGAAAGAATGTACGATCAACCTTTTCACAAACATTAGAAAAAAGGCTTCTCGAATCGTCTCTCCGCCATCTTGTTCCATATCTCTATCTCGATCTTTCCTTTTATTACCATCTCGCAAAAACTTCAACAAAAGTTAATGGATATAATAATTTTGTCCAAGGTAACCTTCGAGCATAACGTAACGTAAATATTTCCGTTGCTGCACTCAAAATCAAGCAACGGATTGGAATTAAATAAAGATCGAGAAAGAATCGTAAGACAATTTGGTATAATGAATAAGGGAAAAAAAAAAAAAAACGCGTGGAAAAGGTATTAGGCCTTTTTTTTTTTTATAAA